TTTTAGGGAACATTAACGAAGATTAATAAAAGCTATAATGTTGTTCATTGGTAGTTAATACGCTAATGCACTAACAACTGAGATCTTATTGTAAAGTGTTACTAAAAATGTATTATAATTGATGTATCCCTAGATTTAACATTTTCAAAATCCTAAAGTACATTTTATTTATATAGCACATTGAAACACGGTGAAGCTGACCAAAGTGCTGAACAGAGAAAACCAAATCCAAAATAATAAAAATAAAATTCCTTCCCCTAAAACTTTCCATTTCCAGGTTTATATTAGATAATTAATCACAGATTAAACAACAGATGTCAATGTGGTCTCAGACTTTTGAACCCCTACAGACAAAATACACTGTTTCCAGCTCAATTTGTCTGACTCTGCAGGCCATCCAGCGAGTCAGAAAGACAAGAGAAACGCAGCGAAGACAAAGACCGTGGCTTATAGGAACTGATGGGGCATAAAGAACCATTTAGTTTGGCCGTAGTATTGCCCAGTTGCCCTTTACGTCACACATATCCACACCTCCCATGTGTAACGCCACTCTCCCTGCTGCCCTTAATCCTTCACGGCTTTTAATCTGCGTCTCAGTCTGTAAAAAGACCCATACAGTTAGAGACGCTCTCCAGCATGCATGTGTCTGCATGCACACAAGCTGCTCAGAATTGGCTTACCATATTCCAGGGATTAGCATCTGATTTGATGGATTACAGACAATGCTTTCACAGTTTTGAGCAGATGACTGTGGGAAACAACAAAAGCGTGGCACACGCTGCTTTACACATCACAGGACATCTAGTCCTTATATAGTAAAGCTTCCTGACCATGTGGCCAGATTTACTCAGAAACGCATTTCGGTGTTGGAAGCATGCAGCGTGACTGAAATACAAATGCAGGTGTATTACTACTGGCTGCTTAAATATGAACTGTTAGTAATTCTAGCATGCTTTCATATATTTGATAGTTGTTGGCTGTATGCATGTGGCACGTCTTTGTCTAACAGACTTTAAACCATGTGAGTCCATTAATGGTTAATAAGAAGGAGGAGAGAGCAGAAAGTAACAGTAGTGGGTCTTTATGAAGGGGGAGGAATATTCTGCAAAGCTCAAAGACAAATATGACATCATCTCCTATGGGAGTGTCAATCACTGTCTAATGTATTCAACAACTACACTGAAAACATTTTTTCATTCATCCAATTAAAAAAATTTAGGGTAATGATTCACATCTGTAAGGGCAAGTTATTTATTTTTCATTGGCTCAAGTTAAAATATATAGATGTGAATCATTACCCTAAATTTTTTTAATTGGATGAATGAAACACTTTTTTCAGTGTACAAAACTGTTAGATCATAAGTCAGCCTATTTTTATCATCAAAGCTGCATTGTTTCAAACCATCTTTCAAAACCCTTTCCACTTGCCCAAAATTGTAATAATACTTTATTTCAAAATTCAAACCACAGTTCATCTCATACCACGTTTGCTTTCCATCCTTATTACATTAGATGCAATAAAATTGATGAGATAATATAAAAAATGAGGAATACACACAATGACCTGATTTCCTGTGCAATTCTCCCCCTTCTCACACAGATGCAAGGCTCCTCCACAATACAGTCAAAAGACTGGGAATGACGGAGGCCCCATCGCCATGGTAACTGGGTTTGTGCAGCTGAGCATTGCGCTTGGAGCAGTTGCTGTGGTTATTAGTGAAGGATTGGAACTGGCCCATTAGCTCCACGCCTCCAAACATCGAAGGCCTAATAGGTTTGTACAATGTGGCCGCTGGATTTATCGAGCTAAGATGTTGTTTTAGCTGACATTTCATATTTATGATGTGATTACTGTATGTACTGTATGAACCTCCAGTTCTTTTTTCAGAGCAAGATGGTAGTTTGCTCCCTGCCATTGACACTTTTACCAGAAAATCAGTAAACTAAACTCAACTACATTGCCACTGAAATGTTAAACTATTTTTATTAAAAGATAATAATAGTAATAATACCATTTTTGTTAAAGATTTTATTTTTGGATTTTTTATTGTGATAGGATAGTTTAGAGTTGAAAGGAAGTGAATAGTAATGGCACTATAAGTCGGTGCACTGCCTACAAGGCTATCAGCGCCGACGTAATACTTTAATTATTTTAACATTTTTTGCAGCAGTAATAACAAATAGTAATTGTTATTATTTCATTGCCTTTATATTATTTTGACTACCTTTTTTTTTTTTTTTTTTATATTATTATTATTATTGAGGTTTTGCTCTCTCCATTTAAGTCAGTATAAAAAGTTCCACAATACTTTATTATTTTACACTATTATGTAAAATACAGTGTTATTTTATTATTATTTTATTTATTTTTATTTAAAATTTCTGTTTATATTATTTATATTATTAAAATAATTTGTTATGTGCTTTTGTCTTTCTATTACTATTGAGATTTAATTTATTTTTAGTTCAATTTTAGTTTTCAAGTATTTTTTTCAGTTAGTCATCTTTTATATTTTTTTTACTTCTTTTTTTTTTTTTTTTTTTTTAAGAAATCAGATTAAATTTTCCAAAATGAGAAGTGATTTTATTGCTCATAGCCTCCCCGAGGAAAACATCTGCTGTACGGCTACTCTGTATATTGTGTGACAGATTCAGTTCAGGATTTGAACACAAAGGCTTGTTATTTCTCCTCAGTCCTCATTAGTGTCTATGGGCTTGAATTCTGCAGATGTAGAGAAAGAGGACTTCAGCTATGATCAATACTCATCCAGGTTTCTCTTCTCAGCTTCAGAATTCACTTGGAAAATACAGCTGTCAGCAGCACGGCCAGCCGATCAATAACAACATCTCAAAGCCAGAAGACTGCACATACTATTGAAAACTCATCAGCTAAAGTATCTGCCTTTAAACTTGTCCATCTGGAACGTTTTACAATAAGTGAGTAATAAAGCAGCTTATACCTAAATGCCTCTACTGTTCAAAAGTTTGGAGGCGGTAAGATCTTTATGTAAAAATGCAAATACAGTAAAAGAAAAAAAACAAAAAAGTAACGCTGTGATTTTTTTTAACAACTTAAAATAACAGTTTTCTATTTTGATATATTTTAATTTCTTCCTGTGATGGCAAAGCTGTATTTTGGGCAGCAATTACTCCAATCATTCTAATATGCTGATTTGGTATATACGGTGCATTGCTGATTGGGCAAATGAGGTGTGAGTCTGCCCTCTAGGGGTTATCAAGAGCTACAGCTGGCTGATTTTAAGCATTTAGAAACCCAATTAACCTCAAAAAGTTTCATTTTAACATGCAAATCAAATTGTGTTGGAGAAAGATATCAAATGTAACTCGAGTTCATGAATTAAAGGTAAAAGATACTTTAGGGACAACACTGGTCTTCTCATTTTTAAGACCAGTTCAAACTCCTTTAGTTCTTTTCAGAAAGATTTAAATACAAATATAAGACAGACCTTGATAATTTTTATCTAATGAAAAAGATGGCAACACTATAAGACCATAAAACAGCTTCCGTTACACGCCTTATTTTTCCAAACTGAGTTCATTGCAGGTGAAAAGACGACACACGACACTGGAAGATTCTATGAGGGGAAAGATGAGCGTTTTTTTCTTCCTCGTTTTTAATCTGAGGAATCAGAGTAAAAACAAATGTCATATACAGCACAAGTACTGAAAGAGCAGTTAGACTGTGTGTGTTCTGCACTCGTATTTTATATTAGCACAGTTCTAGTATCTTCTAGAATCCATTTTGTAAACTCTGCTAGTACCTTAGAGCGATTTCTAAACCATTTCAAAATCGTATACTTACAATTCTGTAAATATATACTGTACATACATAATATTAATATAGAAATATGGTTTTAATATTTTGCCGTTTTAAGCAGCACTTTTTTGCACAATGATAAATGTAAAGAAAGTTAGGAAACAACTCATTCTTGTTCCTTCTCTGTTTTGAAAGGATACACCGTGCTAATTTGTAAATTCATATAGGTGAAGTCAGTAAACACAGTGTGGCACATAGAGCCATGAGTATTCTGCAAAGAGATGCTTTAGATTTGTGAAACAGACAGCAGAGAGATCACTTACACATAGCCCTCTGTGACAGGCCTTGCCATCTTTTACTAGTTTGACAACAAATGCAAGGGTTCCTTTACACGCCATGTAAAAAGGGCAATTTTATCAAACAATATGCTGAACCTAGTGTGTGATCAGCATGTCATGATCTTTCTTAGTTAATGTTCACTGCCGGACACAAGAATCATTTTCTACTTAAGTGAATAGAAGTGCTAACAAAAGACCGATATTGTGAAATTGCAGTCTCACAAAAGGCAGCTCATCGTGAGATGATTCATCCTGGTTTTTCGGACAGATAAACACCCCCACGGTCCTAACACGACAAGAAATAATCACGACAATAAGAGCCACTAACAAGGCAGCATTAATGAGCCTGCAATCTCAAAATAGGTGCGCAATCACTTCCGCAAAGTGTTAATACGTCTGCTTTTCATCCTGATCACACACACTTTATCAGCATTTATAATAAGCTGTACTGTCATGATCAAAGACTCCTAAGGTTTTAAGTACATATTGGTTAGTAACTGGTTAGAACTGTGACATGTAATATGAAGCTGATCTCCAGTGTTGGTAAAAATGAGAACTAAAATAAGTCATTGATGCCACCTGAATTCTAAAATTGACAGGAATTAAAGAACATTAAACATTAGAACAGCCAATGACTTAGTAACACTTTAAAATAAGGTTGTTCTGTAGTTACCCTGAACTAACAATAAACAATCCTTTAACATTTATTAATCTTGATTCAAGTTAACTTTTACATAAAAATAGTACATTTTTACATTACACGCATGTTAACATTAGTAAATGTTGTATTAGCCAACACAAACTAACAAACAAGCAGTTGAATCATAATTAATTTATAAATAAACATTAACTAAGATTAATTTTTTGTTCTTGAAACCTTTAACTAAAGTTAGCATTTTGAACCTTATAGTAAAGTGTTACCCAACAACATCAAACATTTTGGTTTCCCATACCCAAACCTCAACAGCAATAATACTGAATTAAAATTCTATTTTTATACACTTGAAAAGCATCATTATAGCAATACAATCTGACAGACAAAATAAAAATAAAATTCAGGTGCATTTTAGTTTAGCTACATACCTGTAGGGAAATTCATTTGGTTTGTTATATCTAAGCAAAAATGTTTATGTAATTTTGGGTTGATATGAAGTTAAGGGTCCCTCTGGAGACACTGAAATCACATTGGCAAAAACTCTGAAGTGCTTGTCATTTATCTTACGAAATGGCAACAAAAGTAAAAAGGCATGTATTGGTAAGCATAATGTATATTAAAAAATCACAAAAAATATGAATTAGTTAAACACCATTTCATTAAAACTCAGAAACACACTGAACACTGTATGAAATGTACATGTTACGAAAGAATAAAATCTACAATAACAAATCATTAAAAAAGGCTGTAAATGGAATATAGAGAGTGGAATGTGTTTGTTTTGTCTAGATGAACTGCTGAAATGTTTCAAATAAATATACAGTCAATTAATTCCAGGGTGGCGGACAAAAAGTAAACGATCTCAGAGGAACCACCAAGAAGAATACGTAAATATCGAACTGTGGTTTTTGGAATCGGTGTTTTTGCTTTTCATATATTAATCCCTTTTTAAAAGCTACTTAGGAACTTGTTGATCATAAACTTGTGTTTAGGAATGTGAAATATCATGTTTAGGTTACCATCTATTTTGGGAGCACACGGCTTCTTTAAATCTATACACACACTCTCTCTGACACATACACGCATGAGACGATGAGAAGACATGGTTGGGTTTAGTTGTCATCCTCTTTAGCTTGAGAGAGTGCTTTCTCTGCGCTCGCCGAGCCCTCGAAGCGCTGGGAGGCGATGGCAGCTTGATGGGACATGCTTTTTCTCACAATGTCTCCCTTCCTCCATAGTGTAATCTCCTAAAAATCCACAAAAGAGGTCAATTCATGCACAAAATATATCATATTCTGGGCCTTTAATAGTTAAAATATCACTACTAACTTTTTATTTATTCATTTGTTAATTTAGTAAAGTGAAGACCAACCTGTTGTTTGAAGTAACGTCTCTCTTCTTCATCAATGAGTACGAGATTCAAGTAATAACGAACAGAGAATTTCTTATTAACATCCCTCATGGTGGGCGTCATCTCGTACCCAGCCAGAAAAAGACGGATAGGGATGGATTCACCTAAAGCCAGTAAAGACAATGTTAAAATTCAGTACAATACATTTCAACATAGAAAATATGAGTGTTTCAAATTAATCCATCAGAAACGTCATCCTTATAAATGGATGTGTTGAGAATTGTTTCATACCTCGCACAGGTGCTCCATCCATAATCTCGTACTTTGCAATGGTGTCATTTTCGTGGTACACATTTGGCCCTGTCCCTGTAGTCTCCCGTTTAATAATATCAATCTCCATGTGTTTGATCTTAATTCGCACCAACAGGAAATAGATCTTCCCTACAATCACATCTTTCAGGTGATACCTGCCATTTTTAGGTTGAAAAAAAAAAAAAACGGAAAAATGCAAACAGGATATCAGTGGATGACAAATTGACATTTTATTAACTGGTTTAAGTTAAAACCATAAACTCCCATCCTCTGGCTGTTTTTGACTTACTTGGACTTGTTGTACTCAAACTCAATGTGTAGACAGTCCTCAATTCCCACCTCCATCTTTATGGAGGTGTTGAGTTCTGGATATGTGCTGAGTGTGTGCACTACAATGTCCATCTCTTTGCAGATGTCATTCATTCTCCTGCTGATGGTCGCCCGCAGGAAATAGCTGAAAGAAAATTTGAGTTCATAATAAAACCATCTAAGCAACATCTAAGACAGTTAACGGTCAACTAAGTGTACAATATATTGTGGGAGCTCATATAAACAATCTTTCCTGAGCTACACAACTGGAACATACCGTAGTTTTACATTCTGGCCTGTGTAGGACTCGTACGGTTTCTCCACATGTGTGAACTCAAAATCAAAGGTCTGAGATTGAGCCATTTCTCCAGGCCGAGCTAAATCCTTAACCAGAGAGACAAACTCATGATGGTTTCCTCTGTCGTAGTACAATTCTAGGAGAAAAAGACACAGGAGAGAAAAATATTACCATAGATGCTCAATTTTTGACATGGCTGCTTAATAAAATTTTCATAATTTGTTTGTATATTCCGTTTCATTCTTTCAAGTGAGAACAATTCTTTAAGGCTTTGTTAGGTTTGCCAGGTATTGAACAACATGACATTATTAAAGGCAATTTTTGGGGAAAACTATGTTTTTATAATAAATAAATAATACATATAGTTGAATAACAGGCCTTAGGGGGGAAAACGACATTTTCTTTACATAGAAATGCATGAATGGTATATAGAGCTTTAAATACAGCCCTTACTTATAACAAGGAGAAACAAGTATCTTTTAAGGAAACTGTTAATTATTGGTGGGGGGGGGGAAAGGGATTCATAGCTTGTGACAAGCATCCAGAGGTGTGGTTCCTTTTATACCGCCTTTTTACTGGAGATAGGAAGTGGTGGGGGGGGGGGAAGGGATTCATAGCTTGTGACAAGCATCCAGAGGTGTGGTTCCTTTTATACCGCCTTTTTACTGGAGATAGGAAGTCGACTCATTTCAGAGAATCGGTTCTTTTGAACAATTCATTTAAAAGAACAGGAGAAAATCGACTCAATGATTATTTTACATGTAGCACATTGTGCTGTTCATTATGGGTTTTATTTATAATTATAAGGGTATTTGTTTATTTCCATTTAAAAAAGTCAAAGTTGCAAACATGATTCAGCTAACATCGCGACACTTGTTTAGAATCTAAATATTATTTTAATTTACATTAAACGACACTAAATGTCATTTACCTTTCTTAACTAAAAAAAGTTAAGGCTATTTTTAAGTCCAGCTCTTTTTAGGTTGATAAACCATTTCCAGTACAGGTTTTACAAGTTGTAACGTTTCTGCTATTCGGCTTTAAAAAAAAAAAAATCAACTTATTTTCCCTTCACTCATCAGTTCTCGACTGATGACGAATGTCCGAACAGGTCGGTGAGCTGTTGGCTGAATTCCGAACAGCATACTAATGCATTACTCTTGCTATTTCTGATATATAAAGATACGCTCGGAGCGAAACCTGAACGATGTTTAGTGAACCGGTTCGTTCGATTAAACTGAACATATCCAACTGGAAAGAACGATTCGTTCACGAATCAAACACCCACCGCCAATGTGTCATATGTCACGAGACCAGTGTTTGTAATTTGACACTTCAACATATTAACATGTTATTACTTAATAAGTCTGGATCCCCCTTAATGAAACGTGCTTTACAAAACAAATTTGCCCGCGACACCTCCAAACAAACGAACACAAATGTAAATGCTGAATTGTATTTAACTTAACGGTCACATCGCAAGCACATACGTTGCGTCATCAAGCATTGCTCGTTCAAACGTTGAACTTACCGATTTGCCCGATAAACTCTACTTTGATTCCTTGATGCTCGAGCCTTTTGCCTGGGTTCTTCAGGGTTACGTTGACTTTCCCAGAGACTGTCTCCCCATCGTAAAACAGAAAGTATTTGTCCTTTTTCCCGTCTTCTGTTTTGTGCTCGGCCTTAAAAGTCTTAACTTCATAAAAGCTGCAGAAACTAGGAGAGCCCTGTATTTTCAAAAAAATTTTTAAATGCACCCTAGTCAAGACTTGTTGTAGTCATGTAGGCTAGTTAATGTCTCCCTCTAGTGAGCACAGCTAGTGATAGCACAACTCTGCATGAACGTTCACATCGTTACCACACGCATGTTTTGTTGAAAACATAAAGGATTTAGTGCAAATTTAGGAAGCCAAGTCCAACAAGATATATAGACTATTTGACAGGCGGATGAGTGCCAAATGGTTTCTAAGTCTCAGTGCACTCAGCCTCTTAAATCTTGATGAAAGGACCGCTTTTGAAGCCTATTAACAAAATATATTAAACTGGTGATTATTTGATATTACACAACTAAAAAGGTGAATGGAAAGCTACACTGTGTGGTCAAATTCTTTCATGGCAGTCATAATCCTCTGTAAATCCTGTTTAACTAAAATTTGTCCGAAACTGAAGAAGCTCATCCCGACACCTTGTGCTGGACTGGAATCCTTTTGTATTCTAACACCTGGTCCTATTCCACATCAATACAATTCCGTCCTGTTCACAAGCGAGCTGCTCTATCTTCTGCAATGCATGTACGTATATAAAAGGTTGTTCAAAATAAATTTGAGCTAATTCTTCATATGGCTACTGTATATGGGTACATGAACAGGATTTTTCAGCAATGTACAAACAGACACAAGCTTCAGAAATGAATTTACTACCGGGATAGTCCACGTAAATATAGTTTCAAAATAAAGGTCTTACAGAGACGACTGAAATTTATCAAGAGTCAACTGTACGTAAGAGGAATTGTATTTAGGGGTTTTAACTGTTTTAATTTTTAATAATTTGATTCACACAAAATGTTAGTAAGTAATATTGGAAGCGGTTTCTGCATGTTTTAAAAAGTTCACTTGTCTTAAATTCATAAAACTGGTATTAAATGTAGCATGCACTGAATAAATAGCAGTATTTTTTATTTTGTTTTTGAATACAAATATCTAAATCTTTAAATCAAGATGCATTTACTTGAGATGCAAAATGTTTTTGAGAAATAAGTTAATGTTTAAAACAAGAACTGATTATTTGATATTACACAACTAAAAAGGTGAATGGAAAGCTACACTGTGTGGTCAAATTCTTTCATGGCAGTCATAATCCTCTGTAAATCCTTTTTAACTAAAAGTATAAGGCAAGCCATATTAACATTTATTTCTATCAAACTAATACCAATTTTTGATATTAAACATATTTTAATTAGAAGTAAACAATCAATCAATGACTGGCATCATTTTTGAAATTAATAACTAGTAGATATTAGTACTTATCCCAGTAGCTGCAAATATCTATTCAGTTAGTCACTAGTACATCAGACGGGTTAGTCTTTATTCCTTTGCCGATAATGAAGATAAAGTAACTATTCCACTGTCACTGGTAATGAATTGCACATTTTTGCCATTGAATCATATGGGGATCTGTTGCTCGGATATTTACTATTCTCTTCTTAACTAGTCAACTAGTGAGACAAGAGATTTTTCTAGTAACAACTGAGATAGATACTAGTGTCTCATACTGTAAATACTAGTGACTAACTAAAAGTTGACTATAGGAATAAGTAATATGCAGGCTATAATTAGCCTATTAGTGAAACTGAATAGTCACACAAAGACCTGTAAAGTATGGGGATCTGTTTCTCAGATAGGAACTATTCACTTCTTAACTAGTGAACTAGTGACATGAGAAATGTTCCTAGTAACAACAGGGATAGATACTTTTGTTAAGTAATAGTGACTAACTGAAATGTAGTCACTTGGAATAATTTCTATAGCACAGGCTATAATTGCCCTACTAGTGAACTTGAAAATAGATACTAGTCACATAAAGTGACATAGCTACTACTTTGTTTTCAGCGGGAAAAAAATGTTAAATGAGCTTGCCATAAAAGGGATAAACTGGAGTAGCGTGGGTTATGCAAACGCAATCTCTGTTTACCTTTTGAATGCGCGCTTGTGATTGGCTGTCCAGGCTGTCACTCCAGCTGTGGGCGTGGCCAGCTCACTCTACTCTAAAACACGCTGCACCCTGAGAGCGCTTCATAACACAGTCATTTCATTTAAAACCGCGCTAGGCATGGTTCGAGCCATACATCGCTGAGTTTTACAGCGCGATCAGACACAGGGCTTCACTGTCAGCTCTGATCATGTGCGATTGTTAGAGTGAGCAAACTAGACAACATCTTAACTGCACTTATCCTCTGTTTAAGGACAGTCGGCTGACTTCGGCTTTGATTTTGTGATGGCAGAACCGCAGCAACAGCTGGTTGACATCGACCCGGATTTCGAGCCTCTCTCCCGGCCGCGCTCATGCACCTGGCCGCTGCACCGACCGGAGTTCAGCGAGCCGGGGAGCTCCAACACCTCCTCCCCGGCACCGTCCGTCAAGCCTGAGCAAGGTATCGTGGACTTTATCAACAGCCTAAGTTTACTAGAAGAGACCGAGGACTACCAGGAGGAGAAACCCGTCCTTTTGAACGACTTCCACTGCCAGGACAACTGCGTTCATCCCCAGCAACAGCATCCCCAGCAGCCGAATACCCAGCTGACGCACCCGCAACAGGTGCCGCCGCTCCCCGCCCCTGCCAGCAGCTCCAGCCCTGCAGCGGCCCAGAGGAAGAGCAGCTCGTCTCGCAGGAACGCCTGGGGGAATATGTCATACGCTGACCTCATCACCAAGGCGATCGAGAGCTCCCCTGAGAAGCGGCTCACCCTGTCTCAGATCTATGAGTGGATGGTGAAGAGCGTGCCTTACTTCAAAGATAAGGGCGACAGCAACAGCTCAGCCGGCTGGAAGGTAATGGCTCTTCATGGCCAAGCACAAGTGTCATTAAAAGTAGCATTAGAGGTCATCCTATTGTATACCTTATATTTAAACACACTAACATATAGAAATATTTTTGCACACTGAAAGCATCTTTTAATGTGTCCATTAATGTATTTTAATTTTATTATAAGATCATCAACTCAAATTTTTTTTGGAAAAGTAAGGCATGTGATTCAAAATAAGTGGAAGGATGAATGTTTTGCTATATTTAAATGAGTGCAGCTAAAAGATCAATTCATATCTGATCTTCTACATACAAAAACATTTTCTTAATCAATATTTTCATCTGTATTTCCAGTAAAAATATCTAAACTTCCTTAAAAGAAGATACATTTACTCTGTAGGACCTTTTTCTTTCTTACTTTCTTTTTTATTTTTTTTTAAATATATCGTAAATTAATTGTTTATCATTTCAAGTATAAATCTAACAAAATCAAGAAACCAGATTTATTTATTTATAATTGTATTTCCTCCTAAATGACCTTTCTACCTGACCTAATTACCTCTACCATGACTGGTAATATTTCTTTGTAACCTAATGTAGGCAAGCTTTACAGAGGGTCTTGGATGGTTCTGGCCTGACCAACTATGTTCCCATCCTAGCAACCACAACTGTCTATCCCACATTATATCTTGGAGCTAGTGAATTTAATTCAGTTAAATACTTTTGAGATGACTGTTGATTTTGACTATCTAATTTTGGTGTTACCACATGAAGCACCTATTTTTTTTTCTTTACCAATGTAGGCCCCTGAAAAAGGTGTAGCGTAATATATGATAGTAACAATTATCCTTCAAAAGCGCAGTTGTGGATTCCCTCTCAGCGCAAATGAATGACATGCGGTTTGTTATGGAATTTAAGGCTAGAAAGAGGAGGGACCCGAGCTCACAGTGTTCAGAAGAATGCATAACCCAGTTTCAGTTGCGCATTTGCTGATGCCAGTTCAGTTTAATCTTTGTTTAATATCCTTGTCAGAACAACTTGTGGTTTGGCTTTCTGTCATCAGCATGACGTAGAGAGAGGGTTAAATAAGGCTAAATAACAACTTTTTTTTTTTTTTACTCGCCCTCATGTCATTCCAAACTTGTATGACTTTTTTCTTCTGTGAAACTCAAATGTAGTAAATTTGTTTTGCATGCTTTCAAGCTTCAAAAAGGATGCAAAACCATCATTAAAAAGTGGTCCATACATCTTTTGCACTATATTATTCCAAGTCTGAACTTATGGCATACAATAGCTTTGTGTGAAATATAATGAAAAGAGTGACAGCGTCTTTACATTTTCTACTTTTTATGAGTGAACTACTGTTATTCATCTAGCATTGTGAGTGAACTGTGGTCATTTTCATCGGTTTTAGTCATGTGACCTATTTTCCCAGCACTCATGCAGAGGTATGTGGTAAGTCTTGTGATTTGACGACACATTTCTAAATTCAACATATATTTTGTTTTATCATTTTCAAACCTTTTTTTTTTTTTGGAAAACATTTTGTTAGAAGTGTTTTGCTACTATATTTCCATAAATGCACTAATGTAACAATTATGTAACAATAATGACAAATTGTGTATCTTAAGTGTCCAAATACCTTTTGCGGAAAATTTATTTCCGTGTTCAGATATTTCAGTTTATTTTTATTTATTTTTTATATTCATTATATTTTAGATTAGTAACAAGCTGCAACAAATAATTTAATCATTTATTAGGTTTTAAATTTGTGGTAATAGCTGGAAATGATGCAGCTATGATGTAACTTCATTACAGCTATAAATTCATAAACCCACTTTTGCTGGAAAATTATGTCATAATGCGATTTTCTTTATGATTTTCAACTCTTTATAACTGATGCTTCCAAGACGCCACAAATTAGTCTTGCAACTGTGACAAAACCTCAGTTGTGTTAGCCAGCTGGATACATTTAACATGAAGACATATTTAAATCTGAATAATTTGCACCAAGAAAACCAAATGTTTAAGCTTGAAAGACATAAAAACTGTATGCAAATGGATGCATTCCATCATTGCACCACTGGTCAGACAGGGCAAGTGACATGGCCAATGGACCATTCTTGTCGAAATATGTTAACATATGTTGCTTTTATTGTGAAATGTACACCATGTGCTATAGAGTTTTTGTCCCATGATAACCAGATATTTTGTTGATTGGTTGGCAGTGGTTTCTGTAGTGTAATGCTAAATTGTTCCTTCCACTTTGGAATCTCATTGCTCCAAAATACTGTTCCACATCAAATGTGTAGCCTACTAATTGGCTGTTATCTTGCCTTTTGGGCCACTTTAGTTTCATTGTGGACATATTGCTTGTCGCTGGAATCATGCTTGTTTTAGATTCACAATCATTACTAAATCAAATTGCGAGTTGGGTGCGAAGAAACTGATCACTTTTGTTTAGTTCACTTCTGATGCACTAGTTTTATTTTAGTTTCAAGCCTAGATGAAACTGCTAAATAGAATTCAAGGCGGTTGAAGTGAAAATGCTATCCTGTGGTTCAAAAATCTCTGGGGTTCAGAGGTCAACATTTTAAGGTCATGCCAACAAGTTTGTAGAGCATGTAATTGGGAGTCCATGTTCATTCCCTTAAAGTCAAAGTGAAATAATAAGAATAGTGTTTAGACTCATTTTATAAGGTTTTGGCACATCTAGCATTGTGAGTGAACTGTGGTCATTTTCATCGGTTTTAGTCATGTGACCTATTTTCCCAGCACTCATGCAGAGGTATGTGGTAAGTCTTGTGATTTGACGACACATTTCTAAAGCTCCTGAGGTGCTTTGAGGTGCCTGATGACTAAAACCAACTATCAGGGCTGCCATGAGTGGAGCAAACAGAGAGTGGTTTCAGCATTGAAAGGGTCTTTGTCAACCTGTCATTTGTCTCTAGAGCACTTGTTCCTGTCTCTGATTCACCCCTCCATACAAGCCACTTTTGTTTCTTTGCTTGCTCGGTGCGTAAATGGAAATACAAATCCTTACCGTCACCCATGTCAGGGCCTCCTCCCAACACTGAGCTAAAAATACCCGCAGGATTACCTTTCATTGCAGGGAGACACATTTACCTGAAAGGTGTGGTCCGCCCCCCTCCTCACCGCCATCTACACGCCACGACAAAACATCGTCTGGACTCCTCCACCTGTGACATCATAGTTTCAGCATTCCAGTCACTCGTAGGATATTTGTAGGGGTTGGACTGTTCTTTATCATACTGTCTACATACCTGAGACTACAATAGTATTCTGCTTCCTGTCCCAGTAGATTCCAGTCTGTGACTGTCACGTTAACGTAAGTAAAACCTGAGCACCAAGAGAAGGGTTTTGCCATGGTGCAACTGAGTCAATGTCATATGATTATGAGTATAATACAGGGCTCTGCAATAAGCTTTTTTTTGGCGGGGGGGTCAGCTGGATACATTTAACATGAAGACATATTTAAATCGGAATAATTTGCACCAAGAAAACCAAATGTTTAAGCTTGAAAGACATAAAAACTGTATGCAAATGGATGCATTCCATCATTGCACCACTGGTCAGACAGGGCAAGTGACATGGCCAATGGACCATTCTTGTCGAAATATGTTAACATATGTTGCTTTTATTGTGAAATGTACACCATGTGCTATAGAGTTTTTGTCCCATGATAACCAGATATTTTGTTGATTGGTTGGCAGTGGTTTCTGTAGTGTAATGCTAAATTGTTCCTTCCACTTTGGAATCTCATTGCTCCAAAATACTGTTCCACATCAAATGTGTAGCCTACTAATTGGCTGTTATCTTGCCTTTTGGGCCACTTTAGTTTCATTGTGGACATATTGCTTGTCGCTGGAATCATGCTTGTTTTAGATTCACAATCATTACTAAATCAAATTGCGAGTTGGGTGCGAAGAAACTGATCACTTTTGTTTAGTTCACTTCTGATGCACTAGTTTTATTTTAGTTTCAAGCCTAGATGAAACTGCTAAATAGAATTCAAGGCGGTTGAAGTGAAAATGCTATCCTGTGGTTCAAAAATCTCTGGGGTTCAGAGGTCAACATTTTAAGGTCATGCCAACAAGTTTGTAGAGCATGTAATTGGGAGTCCATGTTCATTCCCTTAAAGTCAAAGTGAAATAATAAGAATAGTGTTTAGACTCATTTTATAAGGTTTTGGCACCCAGCATGTTGTTTCATAACTCTCTTGTGTTTTTAAATATGCACACCATTGTTTTATGCGCCTTAAGCAGTCAAACGCACACATGCATACAGGTAGAATTCAGTGTGGGTCAGTTTTGTTATTCCCATGTGCCCTCATAAGACTACTGTAAAAATGGCATGTACTTTCTTCTTTCGGAGCCTTGGCAGTTTGCACCCAAAGCTAGAGATGTGTTACTATATCTGTGGTATAGTGATACAATCTTGTGTGGAGACGTACTGTAGCTCATCTTCTGTAATTCAACACACCTTTATCATTCATATCATTTTATTTACTATTTTAATTCCATTCATAATGTCTTTTAATGGCACTAAGAGTTACTCACCCAAATTAATAAATGAACCCATGTGGTTTTCATTAAGTTATTTTAGAAAAAACAAGTTTTCTCACTTCCCCCTCTTTCTCATGCTTTTGAAAAATGTTTAACTCTGAGCCCTACTTACAGCACATGAACCCTGTTACCTCTACATGCTTTGAAGTTCACCATAGGCTTTCACCTCACCTACTAACACACACACACATGCACGCTATACATTTGTATGTTAATGTTTTCAGACTATTTCAAGGCACACACAATATTTGTTCAAGCTTATCTTGAGCAGATACCAATTTGTATTCTTTGTCGTTCAGTAAGTTTCGAGTGTAGGCGTACTGGCCGCTGATTCTCCAAAACTAGTCACTTTTGACGTGTTTGTGGATTCAAAGTGTGCATTAGGTAGTTTTAAAATCTAAATTGTAGAATTTTACATTTATCTCATTCGGTTTGTGAGT